ATTGATTAGGACTTTCTTAACATAATAAATATTACTTACTTAAAATTATAGACTAATCCAACTTATTGCGAAGTTTTCTCTTGATTTGACGGCAATTTATTCCTCCGACTTAACTTAAAATTTTCTTAGACTTTAATACGAGAATAGACCAAAATTCTTTTCTTAGATATCTTACTAATATCAAAGTGTAGTAATGCTAATAAAACGAAACTTTCATAAAAGCGAAAGTCATGAGTTTACGAAAACTAGTAGCTATATATTTTGATTAGGATAGCTTTCTATTATTTTTAGGTATGCACTATTTCTTAGGCATGTTACTTATATTAAGCAATGAAACGATCCTTCCATAACAATGAGGTTGATGAATTTACGAGAACCAGTAGCTATATATTTTGATTAGGGTAACTTTTATTATGCTTATCATATCTGTAAATTCTTTTACGTACAGAAATTGCTATAGCGAATAATTGAATCTTATAGCCGTATACGCGTATAACCGTATTCGTTTATCTAGGTACCTATAAATAGCTATGAGAGTAAAGATGATTCAATAGATCTAATCTCTCTATATTAATATTCACTACATATTATCAAAATTTAGAATGAAATTTGCTGTAAATTGTTTAAAAAATTCCTTATTAACACTAAAAACAATGATAGAATCAATCGAAAGCCTAGTAAAACTTTACAAAAAGGGATTTATTTCATGTTATTCTCCTGAAATCCCTTTTACACCAATACTTAATAATGTAACTGGAAAATTTATAAGAAATCATTTATATTTATACTAATTAAATTTATCCTAAAGTATTCAACTAATGTAATTAATTACAAATGAGGAAGGATGAACAATTTGTGTAATTAAAATTTATTATTGAAAGCTACAAATAGCGACCACTCTAAAGGGCCATGTGCAGCTAATTTTTCTAAAATTATCGTACGTACTTATTTAGATGGCTGCACTTACTTTTTTAGTTACTTATCTGTGACGCCTTATTCCGAAGATCACGATTTCTATAATGCCCACAGATACTAGGCATAATTAATTTTCAAAGCCAATATTTATATATTTGTCTAGAGACGAACATTGTGATGCTCTAGCATTCTTTATGGCGAAATCTTTTAAAATTAAGAAATTTATAATCCTTACGGGTATCAGTCATAAAATTAAAACAAATACTTCATACAAATTTATCCAGATAATCCATTTTATGGCCGATATTTCGCCAATTTATATAGATAAGATGTCATGGGTTGTATTATTCTTGCTTTATAGCATAATCTGGTATAATCATATTTATTGATAATTCTTCTAATTACTAATTCATTTTCTAGCAAATATTTGACATCCTTATTAAATAGAGAAAAATATGAAAGTAAAATAATTGTGGGATGAATTCATTTATATCGAGACAATTAAACCCAATGATAACAGCAATATTGTGGCCTTATACTGCTTGAAAGTGAAATACTACTAGAACTAGTCGATTTGCATGTAACCTAATTGGTAACGACCCTATTTTTGATTAGCTCCAAAGCAGATGTTATGTACGAAATTTTGGCTGTACCCTTCCTATCTATCACATTTGTCTACATTACAACCACCGGAAAAATCAATTATCTAAAAAATTAATAAGTTTTGATATTCTTTATAGGATTTTGACAGCAATAACTGCATCTATTATGTTTTATCTATAATTCTCTTAAAAATATCTTGAACAGATCATTTATGAAAGCGATATAGACTCTTTAAAAAGTCGTATAATGCTAGAACATTGTGAATATTGGTTTGTCATTATAGTACTTTCCATTTTCTGCCATGGAAGCCAGCTGATAAAGAGCATAGCTCTATCAGATTCTTGATCGCTTAACATTTGATACTTGAATAATTGACAGTTTCGATCTGAAATTTGATTCTTATTAGCCAGAAACTTTCGTTCGAAATGATCTTGTCCAAATACATCTAGAATTGGCAATAATGATGTTGGTGGCTTCAACTAATCACAATTGAGATATTCCTGTAAATATGGCAATAGTAGATAATGAAGCATCAACGATATGCCATAACATAGTTTGTTGCATCAAATAGAGTAATTATAGATTCATTACGTATGATAAATATTGAAGGGAAAAATTTCTCAAGTTAATTATTATAAACTCTAAAAATTGATCTTATTCGCCAATTAAAATCAAGTATTCCCTTTCTTTGAAAATTAGAATTATCACAACTTTATTAGATATAATCTATAAAGTATGGGCAATAAATATAACAGGACAAAACAGAATTACTTTGCTGCTAGCATTCTTATTATAAGTGACGAAAAATCGAAACTTTAGTCCTAGGTTATTAAAATTTCATTGTAAAAATAAAATTTACATAAAGGCCCCAAATGAAGTATAGAAAGCTACATTGCTTACCGCTCAGTGTACTAGTATCTATTAATATCAATTTCATTTCGCCAAGATTTTATGTAGCTAATTGATGATATTCTATAACGTAAAGTGTCCTAATTTTACGTATAAAGTCATAGTTATAGCTATTGCAAGGTTATCAATATATTGTAAATCAAAATTCATTCATACTGTAGTCGTCGTGACTAGGAAGTTTAATAGCTATATAGAATTAGAATTTATCACAACTATGGAATAGAACCACTTATTGATGCATATTTGCATAATAATATCATTGAACAAAATAAAACAATGCAGTAATATCTGATATAAATGATGCATATGATATTAACAATTATTCATGTACCTTGAGGCTGCAGTGATTTAGTAGGAAGGAAAAGTATCTAAATAATGCATTACATACTTTACCATTAATCTGTGAAATACTATCTTCTCGTGTTTCATTAAAAAATTAGACCGTAACTGTTACATAGGCTACTCGAACTCTTAAAGGAGCTGATTCATATTAAATATAATTCTTTATAACAATGTATGTGTATAGACGGCTTAGATAGCTTACAGTGCAATGGATATAATAATATTAAATTAAAATTTCTAGATCAAGAAATAGTAATTTTGTATTCTAATTACTAAGTGATAAAATAATTAAATCTTTTTATTTCTAAGTCGAGCAATAATTCAACCATATTTTTCATACTATCAGTTTTTCTTATGTTGCCATGTATCCCAGGATAATCGCAGAAATTTATCTTCTTGCATCAAACTGATGGATAACCTCCATTGCCTTTATCAATTACAATTTGATATTTGCTTGTCTCAGCGATTCTTTCCTTGCTGAAAGTAAAAGAGATACAAGTCAATAGTATATCCCGTGTTAATATATGATTAATCTTGCCTACAAATTATTCACCAAATTTATACATTTTATTTACTTTCATCTTTGAAATACATATTTTAGTGTATATCATGATGTCATATTATAATTAAGGAAAATTACCGATAAATCAAAAGATAGACTTGTTAAACTATGGTTTAATCAGATTGCATTATAACTTTAATATATTCTTAAATATAGGCATTCAATATTGTTCTAAAATATAGAGATTTTTAGGTCTAATTGTACTATAGCCAAATATAGCTTATCGTTTTTAGCGCGTACAGTCTTCGCTATTTTCTAAAACTGTTTTCTACTGCAATGTTAGAAAGCAAAAACGTTAGTACTGCATATGTACAGTATAGTACGAGAAGTATAACGAGTGAGGAATCTAACAGTAATCTATTATGGTATATATTATATCTAGTACTACATTCTTCTTCTTTGCATATATCCTATCTTTAAAACTATCAATACTATCGATTTCTACCTCAGATTTCGTTAGTTGTTATAGTCACAGTATTAGTATTGTCTCGCGTGACTTCACGATAGCTTACACGCTACTTTACCGTAACTACCACATTGTATATAATTATAATATGCAATAAATATCCTTTTTCGGCTAAAATCTTATTCTCCGTATAGTACTAATCCGCTACCGCTAATTCATCGAACCCTTCATCACATAATAAGTATCCAATTAAAGTTAACGTCGTAACCTTGTCTTCTTTTATATGTCAAAGCTTTCCAACGCCGGAAACTCGACCTTAATAGTATTACAGGTTCAACTTCATCACTCAAAACTCTTGATGTCACTGTTTCACCAGATTTATTGCTCCATTTGGGAAATTTGGTATGAAATACACCATGAATTTTTTCTAGTAATTGCTCGTATTCGTCTTTAAATTCTTGACTAATTTCATCGATTACCTTTTCCATTATTTTGCTGAGCAAAGCAGCAATAACATCCAAACAATGAATATTACCTCCATAATAGACTGGTAGATTTAAGCTAATGCAAACGTATATATTGGGTATTGGAGTGCCAAAGGGAGGTGGTAATTCATTTAATAGCAAAGACAGTTCTTCATAATGGATAAATTGCGTTGCTTCTGGATCGTATTTAGCCCATGTCTCAAAAAAGCACTGATATCTTCTTCGGATACTGTAGCTGAATCAGCATCGACGCAGTCTTGATAATTACTCAAGATTACAGCGACAAATAAATTGATTAGTACGAACCAGGTCAATAAAATATAAGAAATAATATAAATGGTAGCTAGATGAGGGCTTCCGCAGTTCCCAGTAGGCACAAAGGTTGGTATCGCAGATGCTGATGTACATTTAGGTGGCTGAATAGATAATGCGTGATGAAAATTTGTCCAACCAGCAGCAGTACTAAACTGGACGAGTATAATGCTTGTAGTTACAAAATTTTCAAAATTGAGACTTTTAGTGATGACACCGTGATATTTAACATGGCTAAAAACCGACATTCCAATGATAGCGTAAACAAATGAGACTACTGCAATTAAAATAGCAATATTAAAGAGAGCTGGTATAGACGCAATTAATGCCATAAGCAGTCGACGCATTCCTTGAGCATGGCGTAGTAAACGGATCATTCGCACAATTCGAAATATTCTTATAGCTCGTATAATGGCCGGACTAACTCGAAATGTCACAGATGCCAAGTTGCTTAAGACAATTCCTGTAATGGAAGCCAATACTATAATTAGATCAAAAATATTCCATATATCTTTGAAGAAGTAGATACGAAATGCCAAAAACTTCAAGATGCATTCTAGTGTGTAGAAGCATGTAAAACCATAATTGAGAATATCTGCAATCGACAGCGCGTCAAGAAAAATAATGCAACGAAATCTTATTCAAATTACAAACTGGATTGCTATGTAAACTTCATATGAGATGATTTAACTTAAGCGATACTTAATAGAAATGCTTGTAATGAGACGTAATTCACTACGAAATAGTTATAGAAAGGATATTTAAGACTTGGGTAATCGACGCCGATTGTTGGTAATAGATGAACATCATGGCTACTATGTTCAATACAACGACGGTCATGGAGAACAGTTCATACTTCTTATTAAGGAACATAGATACCAAAGCCTTTTGCCATTTAAACTGTTTTTCAACAATAAGAAACAAGCAAACTTTTTATCTCACATAGAAATGGCTCACTTAGGTAAGGTAATAGTTAGTGTTAAGTTATTTAATATTTTAAAATTCTAGTATTATTATTATTATTAATGATCCACGAACTATAATTCTAAAGTCAAGTAGAAAAGAAAATCGAAATTAATTCTAGACCTTAACTTTGACCTTAACAAAATGATTTATTTCCGAGATAAAACACTTTTACGACAAATATTAACTACTTTATCTCATTTAAAATTTTACAATAATGTCGTAAATATCAATAATTTCGGCCACTATAAATTTACTGTGGGAGGTGGATCACTCTTGATTAATTTTGCTTTCATGAGTCTTTTCATCATTCTATACCAATGAAGTTGAGATTCCGTAAACAAAGCTTGAATAGAGTTGCCTCTACGTTTTGATATATACTAAAATTTCATTAACATTATAAGCTGTTAGTAAATCCTATATGATATTGTAAATAGCATATTAACTTCAGCAGGTATTACGAGTTCTAAGTATTGCATACAGTATATAACTGTCAGTTCATTTACTTAAGATCTACAAAATTGATGCTATAGTAGTATGATAAATTCAACTTATGACAGTGGTAATGTGTTTTAAAAGTGCAATCAGGCTGGTGGTATAAAGTATGCATCATTGATGTAGAATATTGAATAGCCTGTATAAGTTAAAAGACGTGCAGACTATTTTATATCGCATTCGAGATTTGCTCAATTTTAAGACTCGAATTTCGAGTTAGTTGGTTGTGTTGTGAACCTAGGGGCTAAAAATTGACTCAATTCACATAGAAATAAGGGGCATAGTTGGTTTAAAGACTTTGGTTTAATTTGATTAAGTGCTAGTGCTCCTTTAACTTCATAACTGATAGATCGGGACTGTAAATTAAAAGATATTTATCGGGAATCTAGAACTAAAAGTTTTCATTGTGTTACTGGGACTTGTAACGAGTTGTAGTAAAGCAACTCCTCCAAGTTTACAATAAATCTGACAAATTGGATTTATCTAAGTAAATTAGTTAGCATTATCACAATAAAATTTAAACTGTAACGCTATCTATAATAAGTTATCGACAAGAAGAGCTCTCCATTTACTGGGTGCACACATTTATGAATTGTTGTGCGAGATCTATTACTGCAGCACATATTAGTAGCCCCTATACTAAATAATAATTTAACCGCAGTGCTAAACTAGTACTACTCTACGTGAGTTCATCATAACTTTGGAAAGCATTAGATTAACTTTAAAGTGAAATAGCGACGTGCAGATTTCTATCAGATAACGGAAATTCAAATACTTAATTTAATGTTGCTTACGGTAATAATTTAACTTTACTCTACTAAGCATCAATTGCTTAAAGTCAAGCTTGCAGGTAAGTAAACTTTCTCATTAGGTCCAAATATGCCTTTGATGCGTACCTTTTTGCGTGAACTATAAAATTGATCAATGATGACACCAGCAATTAAATTTAGAGTAAGAAATACGCCAACAACGATAAATGCGATAAAAAATAATCGTGCTGGTAAATTGTTCAACGATTTAGGCTGCAAATCTTTCTAAAATAATCAAAGAATAATTTCAAATAATGAAAAGTTAGTCAAAGATTTCTAGTGATAGAATTAAAAGTACCTAAACTAAGAAAATGTTCTAAAATAGTATGGTTGAAGATTGATACAATTATAGCTATCACTTCGAAATACTTTAAAATTTTTTAAGTATCTAATATTTCTAAAATAGTTATAGAATAGATATTAATCGATGAAAAGCTTCTTAACAATTTTTAACAATAGAATTAAAGTGGTCAGATTAACAAAAATATTCTACGGTAGTATGATTAAAGATCGATATGATTATATCTATCACCCGGTAATACTTTAAGACTTTTAAGCCTCTAATCTTTCTAATATGATCAAATACTACCTACAGTAAATGCCCATAATTAATGAAAAAGTTACTTAACATCGTCTTAAATTGATAAACTGTATGACGTTTAGACGAATGGAGATTATGTTTGAAATTTGCTAAGGTATAGCTTTTAGTTTACAATTCCGTCTAAGGTGATGAAGGATTCTCAATAGCTCTAACTAACGAACAGTTACGGTTTTCAAAATAATTTAAATGCACAATATATATTATTTTGACAATTAACGAAATAGCCGTGATATGTTCCGAATAGGCATTGATGAAATTACAATTATTCCTGTAATTAGAAGTATAAAGTAACTAAACAATTAGGATTTATAATAACTGTCTCATCCAATCTTGCTTATTTCACTGTTCTATAGACTATGATGATTGTTATTATAAAATTATACGCGCTCAAACGACGAACTATTATAATACCCCGCGAGCGTCTACGGCACTTTTCATTAATCTTTTCCAGCCATCTAACGTTGCTATGTGGAATAATGATATTAATGCATTGCCTAAATTATCAAAATTCATGACAGGATTTCGCCAATAGTATCCCATATTGTCACATTCTGTTTTGTTAGTAACATTGGCTAGCGTTGAATTATCTACGTTGATTAAACATCGGCCAAAAGTACCGGCAAAGAGTTGCACTCCAGTAATGGCGAAAATCAACCAAAATATGGAACAAACCAAGAAGACATTTACGATAGAAGGAATAGACAATACTAAAGCTGCAACAATGACCTAAACGGTTGCAAAAATATTCATCTTTTATCAGCAGCACATTATTATTTTGTCAGAAAAGCGATCAAAGGGAATACTGGTAAATTATCGTAACATCACTCAACCAATTGATAAAATTATAAAGAAGAGAAATGCTGATAAGTATCTATATTATTATTTTATAAGATATTACTCCGGGAGTAACTCATAAATTAAATCTTTTTACTACGCAATTTGTGCTTATGTTCTTCCACTAATAACACAACATGCCATAGTGATGGATGAAGTTCACTAGCCATATTTAGGGCTATGATCTAGGCTATGCTATTTCACATAGAAAATTCTTATATATCCATTTTAAAAATTACACAAAGATCACATATTGATGTTAATAATGTATTCTCATCTAATTTTATCTTACAATTATAATTACCTATTTTTAAATACTGGACATATCAAATACAACAAACACCGTTTAGCTGCTAATCACAACTGTAGTCAAGTTAGAAATTTTAAAAGATTTTAAACCTATTTATATTCATGTGATTGAATTACTGTAATTATTATAAAAATCGCAAATGGTCTGATGGAATACTATAGAAATTGTTAATTATTATCTGTGCATTTATGGAATAAGGGTAGAATGTTACAACACTGATATTAACTTGCGATGCAAGGAAAAGTATATAAATAGGCAATATTAGAGAATTTAAAAGTTGATGCTAAAGATCTTCCTAGTAGATATATTTGGTTAAGATTATGACTGTGAGTAGGTGTGTTTTTATACAAAGAATTCTGGTAAAGTTCTGAAATCTCGTATTTCTGCAAGTTTTTTTAATTTTGTTCCACATCATTGCAACACTATAACTCAGTAATAGTCAATCTTATAATTCTAAATGATAAATTGGCCTTGTAAAGCGATCTGATTAGATACTTGTGGAGGAAATGAAAAGATACGAAATAGAATTCGAAGCTCACCTGTAGGCTACCTAGACGAGGGATAATCCTAATCGGACGGATAGAGTTTATGATATTAAATTCTAGTGATTGACTGACAGATGCACTCAGATCAAGGTGATACGTAGCAAACGATAGCTAACGAAGAATTAATTGGAAAAAAATTTAAATTTTCATCTATTATAACAACAAGATGAGAATTAAACAATAATCGATCGTACTTGTACCATTGCTAGACTGTTTTAGCAATAAAAAAGTCGATTCTAAACTTGCAATAAATCATTTTTGTATATAATTCATGATAGTATCTCATTTAATATTTTGGTTTTGATATTGATTCATTCGAACGAGTAAACTTACTGCCACAATTATGACATCAACGATTTTCCATGGGCTTGTGCAAAAACTGGTTGGACCAAAACTGATAAATTCCAAAGCCAATTCAACAGTGAAGAAGATTGTCAAATAATAGTCCATATTAAAGATAATGTTCTTCATATTTTGATTGCTTTGAATAGTTTTGTCATTGAAGACCTATACATGATTAATATATCAAGTGACGACAATTATTTTTTTCGCATGCTATATTCTAGATATTTGCATCGATATCGAAAAGTTTAATAAAATTTTATATATGAGCGAATCGCTAAGGAATAGTGACTTGCATCTAACGTTTATTGGTCCTTGGATCTCATTTAAAGCAAAAAAAATGTGTATAGCACACAAATGAAATCGATTTTATATAAAAATTATCAAGTTAACTTACCAATAGAACACTATGCATTATGATTAATAGCAGGATAATTTTATGGGTAATGTTGCTATCCAAAACTAGCAACGCTTTCCTTCTAATATAAGTAATTGCCCTAACCAATCTCCAATCGTAAGTGATTTGACAATGAAATGCATCTCTCAGAAAGCATGGAAAATAATATGGAACTTCCCTTTCTGTACTAAATAGAGCCAAGAGTTTATTATCTTTCCCCTGCAAGTTTATCAACAAATTAGTACGAAGGAAGGATTTTATGTGTCACGTGAAAATATGGTAGTAATATAAAACAAGCAACCAATGTTAAATTGAAAAAACCAATAGTGATCGATTTTAACTTAATAACTTGTTGTCGAAATCAAAACATCGAATTTACTTTAATAAACATCTCAAAATTGAATAATAAATAATTAATTAATGCGGAAATACTGATCCTTGAAATAGCTAAATACCAATGTCACTGGAACTACAGAAGATTCCACCTTTTAAACACTAATTGAAGTAGTTGCTAACATCGACAACGTCTTTTCTATCAAAGACTTTGTTCCAAAATATTATTCAGGATGACAACCGAAATTAATCAAGTTTCGACTGATGACTCGACCTTTATCTTCAAAACATTACTGGAATAAGCTAGTTGATACTACTCATCATGGTAACTAATATGAACTGTAGTTTTATTTTACTAAAGACTGGAAAAGCAAAAATAATTGTAGCCTAGTCAATACTCATGATAGTGATGAAGATTTATTTGCTAAAGATCTTATAATGCCGTAGTTCAAGTCTATTCTAACACAAAATGGATACAATATATGTTCATAATGGCAGACATTTTTTCCAGATATTTTTCTGTTGTATATAGTACCATCTTAATTAAGCAATTGCAGCCCATTAAAATACCAGTTATGATCGCGCCTAATATCGACAAACTTACTTTTATAGAATTGTAGCCTTTTAATACTAATGAAAAGCATCTAGATTTATCTAGTAAAGTTTTGTAATACCGTAGTTCAAATCTATGTAAGCATAAATGAATCTAACGAATAATCATCATTATAAAAGCCATTTTCTGTACATATATACCATTTGAAGCCTATTAAAATACCATTTACGGTGGTACCTTATTTCGATAGACTTTTCTATGATAGTGTATACTATTAAACAGAATTGTAGCCCTTTAATACCAATGATAGCGATCAAGATTTATCGACTAAAGATCTTATAATACCGTAGTTCAAGTCTATATAATGAATCATCAGCGTCTTCCGAAATATAATCTGCTAAATAGGTGCCATCTTAAGCAACTGTAGCCTATTGAAATACCAGATATGATGGTACCTGATATCGATAAACTTTTTTCTACAAAAGTATATACCATTAAGAGTCAATAGAACTGTAGCTCACTCGATACTAATTAATTCAAATGCTTGCAGACATGAATACTCCTTTCTACATACTAATGCTTTAAAATAGATTTTAATGATTATAATGACAGCCTAGTCAAAGCCAGCATTAAAATATGGCACTATAGTGCCATACTTTTCTTAGTTGCCAGTGTCAGTAATATTATCAATTGCATTTTATTTATTTTCTATTCGATTAAGTACCCGTAAAAAAATCACCTTAACTGCTAGATTTGTCAAGATTACGATTAAAGCTCTCACCGGTGGTCCGTAAGAATTTCTTGATGATCGGTCATATTCTTTACCAATCGTAGCAATATTGCCGGGGCTACTTGTAGAACCTCTTAATCTTGCCCTTGACTCAGAATTGGGTAAATTATTTCTACTGCCTCTTGCATCCATACCAACAGTAAGATATTGATTTTTTTCAAACATTTTAGTTGAATTAGAATCATTTTCGCTATTATCCAGATCTTCTGTTTGCGTACTAACTTCAGTACGATTCTTTTCACTATTCGGTAGGCCACTTTTGCTATCGATGGGTGGCATTGAGTTACTCCATACTCTATTTCTAAGTTTATATTCTAGAGTTGTGGCTTGTCTTAAATTAGGTGAGGTTACGGATACGATAATACTTTGCACTTTTCTTCCATCATCTACTTGATCCATCTGAGCGTTTTGTTTGTATCTTTTATCAGCTAATTGATCCATCTGAATATTTCGCTTTTGCCTTTCAGTAGTTAAATAATCTATCTGAGTGCTTTCTTCTTGCCTTCCATTTACTGAAGTATCAACTTGAGTGTTTCCTTTTTCATCATACATAGCTATAGACGAACGAACTACTTGCTTTGCTTCAATGCTAGCCCTTGCTATTGATAGATTAATAAAGAAATAACACTTTAGCATCGATTGGCAGACCATACACTATTTCAAGGCTATAATATCATACGTTGTTGAAGGGTTTCCATCTTATTGGCGTTTACTAAATTTCGATTATCTAATGGATCAGAATGAGAAAGATTGTTCGCCGTGGTTTGTCTACCTTCATCACCTTCTGTAGAAAAAAATTAATGCTAGCATTAGCCGAAGATGATTCGAGAAAGAGTAGAAAGGATACCTGACGCTTTAAAACTTCTAGTGCATTTACAAATCACGATAACGCTAGTAGCTAAAACTGTGCTCCTACCATCTTCTTTTGCTGTCTCGATTAAAACAAAAGCATCTTTAGACCTTGCATTTTCAATTTCAAGTGATCCCTTCTTGGACTTCCCTCTTAAGGTTCTCATTCGATAATTGATATTTTCTACTTTTAAGTCACCTTTATTGGATTTTTGCGTTGATATTGTATCTTCAGATAGCGTCAACTGGCTATCCTCAACTTTGCTTTTACGCTTTCTTCGAAACCTCGGTCGTTTTTCTTGTTGCAATTCATGAATTTCACTATCTTTACGGGCAATATTAGCCTGATTTGTTGTTGATTTATTTCGATGAAATCTTTTCTTACGAGATTTTCTAGCATCACTAGCCATAGACTTTGTTAATGATTTATTCGTGATATGACTATCGCTTACAGACTTATTCTTGCTCGTCAAACCCAATTCAGCATTTGGGGAAGCTTCTACCTCGATTTCTGTAGTTAAAGTTGGACTCTCATCATTTTCGACGACTGGTTTTGTGGATTTATCAGTAGCGGTAAGTTTAACTTCTAGCTGATCGTTACTATTTGGGTTACAATTTAAACCCTTATCCAATTCAACTTCTGCGATATATTCGTCTTTACTCTTGCTAGGTAAATG